ATATATATATATATATATATATATATATATATATATATATATTCCTTTTTCAGCTCTTTTTTCCCCTCATGCAACCCTGAGAAGAACAAATTCAACCCCCACCCCAGGTGCTCTGTTTTTCTTATTTCACTCCCTCAATACTGTTTAAAGACTTTAAAGTTCTAAAGGGACTCTTGTTTCTTCTCCTTTGCATCTGAATGCTAGTTACTAATTGTACTAAATACAATTACAAAACACTCTAGAATAAAGACAGACCTGAATAATTGGGGATATATTAATTGTTCATGAGTAGGACAAATCAACATAATGAAACTGATAATACTACCTAAATCAGTTTACCTATACAGTGCCATACCAATCAATGAATTCTTTATAGAACTAGCAAAAAAAAAAAAAATAACAGTTCATCTGTAGGAACAAATAAAGCACCCTCAAGGTTCATGTACATGAAAAAAGTGGGAAGAAAAGAGGATCTAGTGGTATCAGATTTTAAACTTTACAAAGCAATAGTCATTAAGATAATTTGGTATTGGTTTTAAAAAAGTTAATTAATGGAACAGATTAAGTATACAACATAAAGAAGCAAACAAACCTAGTGGCCTACTGTTCAGCAAACCCAGAGACCACAGATCCTGGGATAAGGCTAACTCTTTGACAAAAGATTCTGGGAAGACTGGACTACAATTTGGTACAAATTAGAGTTAGAGTAGTACCTCACATCACATATGAAGGTAAGCTTCAAATGAATACATGACGTAGATATACAACATCATGTCATAAGCAATTTAGACAGACAAGGAAGAAATTATTCTCATATCCATAGATGAAGGAATACTGACCATACAAGAGGTAGAGAGGATCACTTAAAATAAAACGGGCAATATTGTTTACATAAAATTTAAAAGTTGCACAAACAAATGAAATTAATCTAAGATTAGAAGGGAAAATTAACTGGGAAAAAATCTTTGTGGTGATTTTTTCTGATAAAGGTCATTTCCAAAACCTATAAGGAAATTATTCAAATTTATAAGAACCAATTCCCAGTTGATTGGCCAAAGGTTATGAATAGGTAGTTCTCAAGGGAAGAAATTCAAGCTATTAATAGCCATATTAAAAACTGGCTCCAAGTCACTAATAATGAGAGAAATGAAAATTAAAGCCACTCTTTGGTTCCGTGTCACGCCCATATTGGAAAAGTTGGCAAAAAGGAAGACGGACAGATATTGGAAGGGTAGAGAGAAAAGAAACACATTGTTAGTGGAGCTGTGAAATGATCTAGCACTTCTTGAAAACAATTTGAATCTATGTCCAAAATGTTACAAAGCTGTAAATACTCTCTGATCCTAAAATATTACTTCTAGGCTTACAACCCAGATAGCTCACAAGAAAGAAGAAAAGGACCAAGTGTATAAAAATATTTATAAAAGTTCTTTTTATAGTGGCAGTGATTAGAGACTAAGGTGATGTCTATCAGTTGCAGAATGACTGACAAATTATGGTATATGAATATAATGGAATACTTTTGTCCTGTAAGAAATGAGGAAAATTTCAGAGAAACATGAAAATACTTGTGTGAACTGATGCAGAGTGAAATAAGTAGAACCAGGAAAAGACTATATACTATAACATCACCTGTGTGATAGTATAAAAAGAACAATTTTGAAAGACTTAAGAACTCTGATCTACGTAATGATCAACTGTAGATTCCAGATGACTGGTGAAAAAATGCTATTCACCTCCTGACAGGTTATGGACTAATGAAGAATAAGACATGTTTCTGGGCATGGCCAATATGGGAATTTGTTTTGCTTGATGACTGCTTATTTGTTATGATTTTGTTTTTATTTTTACTTTCATGGGGAGGGAGACAGACAAAATAAATGCTTGCTAATTTAAAAAAAATTTAGCAAAAAATGTTTGCACTGCATCATGGTATAGCCCCTTCTAGTTACTGGAATATATTTACCTTTCTAGTTTGTTTTTTTTTTAACCCTTGTATTTACATTTTTAAATGTTTACTCAATTCTAGTCTTTTAATCAGGAATGCTTGAAAATCTTTTTCATTAAAGGGCCATTTTTCCTCCTGTAGGGAGTTTTTTGCCCAGTTTTGCAGGGTAGGTTATTGTTTGTAAGCCCATTTCTTTTCCCTTTTGGAATATTGCATTGGACAATCTCTCATTTAGAGAAGAGTACTTCAGGTTTTGTGTGATCCTAACTGTAGTTACTTGATACATGAATTTCTTACTGGATGCTTGGTGTATTTTTCATTTGACAGGCAAGCTCTAGATGTTGGATGTGACATTCCTGGAACTTTTCCAGGTGATTGGTGTATTCTTTCTATCTTCACTTTGCTCTTTGATTTAATAGATCTGGGCAGTTTTCATTTATGATTTCTTGAAATATAATGTCCAAATTTTTCTTTTTTTAAAATCATGGTTTTCAGTGACTACAATGATTCTTAAATTATGTCTCTTTTCCCTATTTTCCAGGTGAGTTGTTTTTTAATCAGGTAACATATCTTCCATTCCATCTTCCACTATTTGCTCAATCTTTTTTATATTGTCCTAGTATTTTTTGCTGTCTCATGTAGTCAATGATTTCCATTTGCTATATTCTAATTTTCAGGGATATTGTGTTACTTGGGTATGATTATGAGTTTTTGTTCTAAGCTGTTTGATCTCCTTTCATTTCATTCCTCTAGAGTTTTTATCTTATTTTTTTCTCTTGCTTCATCTATGTATTCATCTAGTCTGTGTTAAAAATACATTTTTCCCCCTTTTAAGCCTGCTTATATTTGTAATGGTACTACTGTCTACTTCTAGGTTTGATTTTGGAGTGTCTCTAAATCTACAATATTTTCCAAACTGATCATTATCTTCTTAAAGTTTTCTCATCTCTCCAGCCTTAGTCCCAGAATAGGGGCTTTATTCCAGACCAGATTCTGCCCCCTTCTTTGCCTTTAGGTAAAATTGTTGGCCTTGTTTGGCATGATGTGTGGCCCCTGGCTTCCTGTTTACCTTGCTTCTTGAGGTTAAACCCTCTGGATTTTTGAGATCCAGAGAACTAAGTCAGCAGGGTCCTCTATGGAGTTTGGTGCCCCTGGGCTGTCATGGTTGTACTGGTTGATGGTGGTTTCTTGGTGGCTTCTTAGTGGTTTCCAAGTTCTCCACTGTGTGTTTCCAGCCTTCTTTTGGCTTTTTGAGGGGGCTTTTCACTTTTCACTCCAGCTGTCTCTCTGGTCTCTAACACAAAGAGTTGCGGGCTATGCATGCCTCTGATGCATCTCTCATCCTTTTGGGAGGCTGCTGGCTTATTTGCTTGTGCTGGCAACTGGCTTTGCAAGTGGCTGCCTTTCCTATTTCCTGTGGGTTTCTGGATAACTTTTTATGTAGTTTTGGAGTGGAATAGTTTACTTTTAAGGTTTCTTATTGGCTTTCTTGATTTTTATTTGGCCTGATGTGATTTTCTGGTTTCCTGGAGTTGGTGGAGTTGGGGGGGGGAGGTGGGAGGGTGGAGACGAAGACTTATCTATGTGCCTATATTCAGATAATCATCTCAACCAAAAATTCACTGGGTCACCTGCAGTTGTAATTCTTTTGAGGTCCTAATGCCCATGTTCCACTGCTATAGCTTAACTACCTGGAGAATATTGCCATTAAAGAGAAAGATTTTTAATGCAATAAGGGCATTTAGATCATTAAAAGCACAATTTTTGTTTCTCCAGATGTGATCCAGCCCAGTCTCTTCCTGTTCAGTTCGGGGCTAAATAATTATCCCTCTATAGGTCACCTCCCCAAGATATTTGTAAAGATGAGTGACCTTGCTAGCTGTATTCAATAATATAGACACTAGAATTTTGCTTGAAAAATGTTTTCCAAGGCATAAGTCTTTAAATAGAGGGGTTTTTTTTGGTGTGTGTTATGGAACTATAGGTACATTTTCTTTAAGTGACCTTCTACAACTTATTCTTTTCCATAGATTGTGATTTGAAATGAAAAACAAAATTGTAATTTAACTTTACTTTCTGTAATTACTTTTAATCCCTGCTAAAATGTTTCAATAATTACTTTGATGTGTTGATAAATACCTACATTTGATGACTAAAAATAAAAGCTTGGTTTTTAAAACAGGAAAAAGAAATGGAAGCCTTGACTGATGCTACTTTCCTTGCAACTAAAATTAAAAACACACTGTACCAGTACCACAGAGTTGAAGATGATAAGTGGAGAGTTGCTAAGAAAACGGTAATTTTTTATATTTGCTATCTATAGTGATCTTTTAATAACCTTTTCAGTGGAAATTCATGGTGCCCCAGAAGTCTTAGTGTCCAAAAGCTTAATTTTCTTTTTTTTTTTTTTGTTTTGGCTGAGGCAATCAGGGTTAAGTGACTTGCCCAGGAAGTCACACAGCTAGTAAGTATCAAGTATCTGAGGCCAGATTTGAACTCAGGTCCTCCTGACAAGGCCAGAGCTCTATCCACTGTGCCACCTCGATGCCCCTGAAAGCTTAATTTTAAGCTGCTGAAGTTTAAAACTACACCAAGACTGTTGGTACATGCCATATTGTAAAGTGTGACCCTTCATGTATTGCGGTTTACGCAGGTTAAATTATTGATCATCAGGCCTAGCTTTTCACAAAATAATGCTCACTGCATTAACATTTTAGAACTCTTTTTCTATGGTGAAGGATGATCGCTGCCTCATGATTTAATTTGCGATATAAGGTTTTGGTCTTTTTCCCCATAAATATTCTCTTTCAGGGAACTTTAGAAAGTCAGCCATAATAATGAACAGTTTTTCCAACAAGTACTATCAAACTCATTTAATTTCTTGCTTCCAATTTATACACTAGATTGTGTATGTGTATGTGGTAGGATGAGGTTGAAGGGAAGAAGCAATAAACCATAACTGAGACTTGAGTACTTTTTGCTTTTGTGGTTGACATTCATTTATTCAGCAAATACATATTGAACAGTTATTCTGTTGAAGGCACTGCCTTCAATCTTTTTTCTTTTTTGGAAGGATAATATCTACCTTAGAAGCTAATTATGTATTGGGCTTTATATTTTACTGTAAGAGTCATTACCAATGTGGAAATTATGTACCAGAGACAATGAGTGGGTGTAAAACTAATCTGAGAAAAGTGTATTCCTGGTAGTTTAATTTCAGTATGAGAGGAAGGGCTATAACTATTAATCTTACATTGGTTAATATTCTCATTTATTAACTAAGTGTTGAACTGAGGAATAGTCTTATTGAATTCTTAACATAACATTTGTGTCATAATGGTTATCATCTTGAGATGAAGAAATTGAATTTTGAGGAAGATATAGGAGATGAAGTCAAGATGATGAAGTAGAGAGAGCATTTCAGCCAAATCCTCCCAATATTCCCCTCCAAACAACTTTAAAATAACATATCAAATCAAATTCTGGAGTGATATAGCCAACAAAAGGTCAGGGTAAGACAGTTTTCCAGTCCAAGACAACTTAGGAGGTCAGAAGGAAAGATCTGTGACACTGAGGTAGGGGGTGGCCCAGAGTGGAGCTGGTCGGCTACACTAATGGTGGGCCTCGGAAACAACTGCAATGTCAGTAATAACAGCAATAGCAGCAGTTTTTTGTTTGTTTGTTTGTTTTTTCTTTTAGGCAGTTGGGGTTAAGTGACTTGCCCAGGGTCACACAGATAATAAGTGTCAAGTGTTTGGTGTGAGGTTGGATTTGAACTCAGGTCCTCCTGACTTCAGGGCCGATGCTCTATCCACTATGCCACCTAGCTGCCCCTGTAGCAGTAGTTTTTAAGAGCTCTCACCTCCCAGAGATAGTAAGAGAGTGGGACAACTGGTCAGAGATTATAGGGGAACTCTGTTAGCACTGGGTGACTATGATGCATTGTTTGGCAGCACCAGGACCCATTATCCAATTTTGGGTCATAATTCCAAGGTGGACAGGGTCACGAGAGAGCAGGGGCCCTGGTTGCAGTTCCAGGATAGAGAGGAGTGCTGGCACTTGCAATTGCAAGGAAATAGGGCCCCACCTGGGTAAAGAAGAACACAGATGAGGAGAGTAGTGACCACATCTCTCTTCAGATTACCACCTTGAAAACTTTGAAAACTTACAGACTTCCACCTCCCCCCTCTTACCCCAAAAACAGCACAGTGAAAAAGCCTGAAACTTGGGACAGTCACCTACCCCAGGCTTAACTCTAACATGAAGTTTACAGTCAAAAAATAGGCTGGAAAAATGAGCAAACAACAACAAAAAAAGAAGTTGACCATAAAAAGCTATTATGGTGATAAGGAATTTCAAGACAGAAGCTTGGAAGACAGCAATCTGAAAACATTTATAAGCAAGGTTTTAAAACAAAATGCAGATTTAATATAAGCTGAGCAAGAATTCCCGGAAGAGCAAAAGAAAGATTTTTTTAAGAGCAAAAAATAATTTTAAAAAAGAAAAAAAATGAGAATAATGAAAGGAAACTATGAAAAGAGAATTAATAGCTTGGTAAAAGAAGTATGGAACCTCACTGAAGAAAAGAACTCTTTAAAAAGTAGAATTGTCCAACTGGTAAAAGAGGTATGAAACTTCACAGATGAAAATAATTCCTTATAAAGCAGAATTAGCAAAATGGAAAAAGAAACACAAAAGCTCACTGAAGAAAATAATTCCTTAAAAATTAAAATTGGACAAGTGGAAGCTCATGACCCTATTAGATATCAAGAAATAATTAAAGTCAAAAGAATGAAGAAAAACAGAAGAAAATGTGAAATACTTCATCAGAAAAACAATTGACCTGGAAAATACATTAAGGAGAGATAATTTAAGAATTGTTGGACTACCTGAAAATTATGATATATATGATGAGCCTAAACATCATATTTCAAGAAATTATAAAGGAAAACTGCCCTGATATCTTAGAACCAGAGGTAAGATAGAAATTTAAAAATTCACTGGTCATCTCAGGAAAGGGATCCCAAAATGAAAGTTCCCGGGAATATTATAGTCAAATTCCCAAGCTCCCAGGTTAAAATACTTTCTGAAAATAATTTCTCCGAGGAGAAAATATCAAAAGCAGCCATAAAGGATACGTTGGAATCATAGTCAGGTCACAAAAGATTTAGCAGCTACAGCAAGAAAGGAACAGAGGGCTTGGAATAAGATTTTCTGAAAGGCAAAGGAGCTAAAATTACAACCAAGTATAACCTACCCTCATCCTTCAAGGGAAGAAATGAATCTTTAATGAAATAGATTTTCAGGCATTCCTGATGGAAAGACCAGAGATAGGGGCAGCTAGGTGGCACAGTGGATAGAGCTCCGGCCTTGCAGTCAGGAGGGCCTGAGTTCAAATGTGACTTCAGACACATAACATTCACTAGCTGTGTGACCCTGGACAAGTCACTTAACCCCATTGCCCCATTTAAAAAAAAATAATAAAACAAAACAAGAAAAAAAACAGAGATAAATAGAAAATTTGACATTTAAATGCAAGACTCAAAAGAAGCATTAAAAGGTAAACCTGAAAGAGAAATCATATTATAAAACATAGTCAAAGATTAAACTGTTTAAATTCCTACATATGAAGATGGTTCATACAACTCCTAAAAACTTTATCATTATTAGGGCAGTTAGATGGAGTCTACTTAGAAAGAGGGTATGGTTATGAATTGAGTATGTTGAGATGATCTAAAAAAAAATGGAGGGGTAAAAAAGAGGGATGCATTGAAGAAGAAGAGAGGAAGAATGGGGAAAACTATCTCACATAAAGAGGCATACAAGGAAAAGTTTTAGAATGGAGAAGAAAATGGGAAGGTAATACTTGAACTTTATTCTCATCTGAAAGGGTTCAGAGAGAGAAGAATATATATATATTCATATATATACACACAAATATATATAATATACACATTTATATACACACATACACTTTGTGGTATAGAAGTCTGTCCAACAAAACAGGGAAATAGCATAAGGGGATTAGAGAAAGGGGGAATGGAAAGTGATAAGAGGGAGGGTGGATTAAAGGAGGAAGTAGTCAGAAAAATGAGTGGCTCAAAGAACAAATCATAGAAACATAAATAATTTCATTAAAGAAAATGACAGTAATCAGACAGCACACCAAAATTTATAGGATGCAACCAGAGCAGTACTTAGTGAAATATTTATATCTCTAAACACTTACATCAATAAAAGAGAGAAAGCAGATCAATGAATTGGGCATACAGTTAAAAAAAAAAACAAAAACCCTCAATTAAACACCAAAATAGAAACCCTGATATTTAAGAGAGATTAAGAAAATTGAAAAACATTTTTTAAATGGAATAAATAAAACTAGAATTGTTGCGCGCTAGGGGTGGGGGGGGGTGAGTGGGACTGCGCAGTACATAGATAAACCATTGGTTAATTTGTTTAAAAATAGAAGAAAACCGAATTGCCAGTATCAAAAATAAAGAGTGAATGTATCACCAATGAAAAGAAATTAAAGCAATTATTAGGAGCTATTTTGCTCAATTATATGCCAAAAAAAAGATAATCTAACAGTAATGGATGAATATTTACAAAAATCTAAGTTGTCCAGATTAACACAAGATGAAATAGATACTTAAATAATCTTATCTTAGAAAAATAATTTGAACAAGCCATAAATGAGCTCCCTAAGAGAAAATTGTAAGGACCTTATGGGTCTACAAATAAATTGTACAGAACGTTTAAAGAACAATTAAGTCTAATTGTATATATATTCTATATATTTTGAAAAAATAGACAAGAGTCCCAGCAAATTCCCTTTAATGCAGAAATGTGGTTTTGATAGCTAAAATGGACAGCAAAAACAGAGAAAGAAAACCATAGACTAATATTTTTAATGAATATTGATGCAAAAATTTTAAATAAAGTAGTAGCAAGGAGACTACAGTGATATATCATAAAGCTCATACGCTATGACCAAGTTTGATTTATACCGTGAATGCAGGGCTAGTTCTGTATTAGCAAAAATATAAACATAATTAACCATATCAATAACAATTAACAACAAAAATCATGTGACTATATCATAGATGGCAGGAAAAAGCTTTTTTGGCAAAATACAACACCCATTCCTATTAAAAAACACTAGAAAACATGGAAATAAATGTAGCTTTTCTTAAAATTATAAGTAGTACCTATTCAAAATCAAGAACAAACATTTTTCTGCAATGAAAATAAACTAGAAACTTTTCCAATAAGATCAAGAGTGAAGCAAGACTATTCATTATCACCATTATTACAATAACAATATTGTACTGGAAATGCTAGCTGTAACAATAAGACAAGAAAAAAATAATTGAAAGAATAAGAATAGACAACAAGGAAACAAAACAAGCACTCTTTTCAGATAATATGATTATGTACCTAGGAAACCCTAGAGAATCAACTAAAAAACTACTGAAACAATAAACTTCAGCAAAGTTGCAGGATATAAAACAGTCCCACATAAATTATCAGCATTTCTAGATATTACCAACAAGACCCAGCAGGAAAAGACAGAAAGAGAAATTCCATTTAAAATAACTGTTGACCTTATAAAATACTTAGGAGTCTACTAGTCAAGACACATCCATATGAACACAGTTACAAAACACTTCACACAGATAGGTACAGATCTAAACAATGAGAGAAAAATTAATTGCTTATGGGTAGTCTGAGCCAATATAGTAAAAATGATAATTCTTTCTAAATTAATTTCCTTATTTAGTGCCATACCATTTAAACTACCAAAAATCATTTTACAGATCTAGAAAAAATAATTAATTTGGAAGAATAAAAGACCTTCAAGAATATCAGGGGAATCAATGAAAAAAAAATGTAAAGGAAATTAGCCAAGTATTACCAGATTTCAAACCTTATTACAAAGTGGTAATCACCAAAACAATTTGGTACTGGCTGAGAAACAGAGTGGTGAATCAGTGGAATAGATTGTATATACATTACACAATAGTAACAACTATCTAATGAATACAGAGAAACATGGAAAAATTTGCACAATCTGATGCATAGTGAAGTAAGTAGATCCAAGAAAACAATATACACAAAAACTGTAAGAATTTGAATGGAAAGAACCCACAACCACAAAAAAATCCCAAAATTTAAATGTTGTAAAATTACAAAGACCAACCATGACCCCAAAAAAGAGATATGAAAAGATACTTCTTACTACTTTGTAGGTAGGAGATTCACAGGTGTGGAACATTGCATATATTTCCATTTTTTTTACTGTATTAATTGGCTTTGCTGATTATTTTTTATTCTTCCTCTTTGGAAAAAAAAGACTTTGTTTTAGAGCATGATTCTCTGGGATGGAGGATGAGGAAGATACACTAGGGAAAATCAAGCTATGGAATTTATTGGGATGCTATAATTTAGGTCATATTTGAAGAACTTTAATCAGGGATGGAACAATTTCAAATTCAACTCATTTGATAAAGCACAATGCAGACTTTTTTTTTACATTTCTCATTGGGAGTTTATATTTTAAAGCAGATAGGACTATGAGGAGATAGAAAATATTATTTAGTGACTGATTTCAGTAGCTCAAATGATGTTTACAGTATTACAATGTCCTTTTTTGATTTTTTCAGAAAGATGTAACAGTTTGGCGGAAGCCATCAGATGAATTCAATGGATATCTGTAAGTTTATCTTCTAAAGTTAGTTCTTAATCCTCTTTAAAGCTTCACATACATAGATGGTCACTGACTTTATACTGGACAAGAAGCGTTAGCCTTTTGGTTTAGAGATATTTTTAAACACTAAAATAGTTTATACTACTGAAGGAAGCTGCTATCACAGAATTTGCACACATAAGGTGCCTCCTGCTGTCCCAAAGAACTTAGAATACACCCTCACACTCTGGAATATAATGTCCAAGATTGACCAGAATCACCAGATGTATAAGATGGACAGTGTCCATGACAAGGTCAGGGAAAGCTAGAATTGAATGAATTGTTGAAAGCAAAATGCTTTTGTAATGAGATGAAGTGGGAAAATTAATCTTCATTCTCTGAGAAAACTCCTGTAACAATGAATGACATATTTGAAAAAAGAAAAGCGGTAGGACTCCTCGACTTATTTCCGTGCTCCTTTTCCCTATGAAGAATAACGTTAAGTTTTTATTTCACTAATGCTCATCCATAAAGGATCAAATTTGGACCATTTATTTCAGAAAGTGAAATTGCCAACCCTTGCCCTTTTTTAGATACCTTTAATTCATAGATTTTGTTGATCCTACATGATGATTGCTTACTGACTTTTTCTTATGTCTTCTTTACTGGCTTCTCATCATCTTTTCTTTTTCTCAAACATAGATGTCTGCCAAGGTTCTCTCCTAAACTTTTCTGATTTCGATTTTTTTTTCCATTGGCAATCTTCTCTACTCTTTCAATCATATCCTCAACCACTCTCCAAATGTAGGGTTCCTGTAAGGAACAACTTGATAACAATTAGTTATCTAAAAGTGAAATGCACTGCTTTGAGGAAACAATGAGTTCTGCCTCACTGGAGGTCCTCAAGCAAAGAGTAGATGACAAATTGTCCGATATATTGTAGAAGAGATTCAGCTTCAGCATGGGCGGGGTGGCCTCTGAGGTTTCTTTCAACATTGAATTTTTATGGTTCTGAGGTAAATTTTTGGTGAATTTACTTGAAGCAGCCTTAGAAATATTTAGTTAAATCCCCTCATCTGATAGATAATTAGTCCGAGAAAGAATAAGAATTTATTTTAAAGTCATAACTGGTTCATGGAAAAGCCAGAATTGTAATAGCTTGTGACAGAGTCTTATGATGCCACTTCTTTGCTTAAAAATCTCTTGTCCCTCGCTGGTAGTTATTCAAGGTTCTCCCTGTGCTTGCTTCTGCCTCCTTTTCAGGATTGTCTCTTCTTCTTCACACCCTTCACTCTACCCAGCTAAATTCTTCCCTGAACTTAATTGTTTATCTCAGACTATCTCAGTGCATTTTTACAAGCTGTCCCCAGTATCTGGACTACACTTTCTTTTTTTTTTTTTCCTGCCTCTTAGAAGAATACTTACCTTCTTTTTAGCATTAGTTCAGTATTTAAGTTAGGATTACTTTAGGATTCAAGGTTATCTTATCTGTTAAACCTTCCCTGACTGATCCCCTTAGTCATTAATGCTTTCATTTTCTTCAAAGGATTTTATGTTTACATATCTGTGTCCAAGTAGAATGTAAGCTTTTTAAAGGGAAAAACTTTTTTTTGTCACAGCGTCTCTCAGATATGTATGTGTATATGTGTATATAGACATATGTATGTAAGGAGATATACATAATGATGAACTAAGTTAAATTGAAACCAGGCCTTTTTTGTTTTTTTGTTTTTTGATCTAGGCAGTAGGGTTAAGTGACTTGCCCAGGATCACACAGCTAGCAAGTGTTATGTGTCTGAGGCTGGATTTGAACTCAGGTCCTCCTGAATCTAGGGCCAGTGCGCTATCCACTGCCCCACCCAGCTGCCCCAAAACCAGATCTTTTGACTCCAAATACAGTTTACATTCCTACACTGTACTGCCTCATTAAGAGCATTCATTGTTACTACTACTTTCCTTTATGAATAATCATGTATTCCCTTATATCTCTTGTGTTTTTGTACTTACTGTTACTTAACTTTTGTTGGTATCCCTTATGACATCATTTGTTTCCCGAGCTTGGTTTAATTTTCTTAGGGAAAGGATTTTGTCTTATATGTCCTTGAACCCCCTCCACACACACACACACACACACACACACACACACACACTAACATACAATACTTTGTACACAGTAGGGTCTTAACAATAATTTGTTGATTTAAAATTACTTAATTTGTAGGGATTTTGTTTTACATCCTTTTTTCAACTGTCTACAGACCACCAAACAGAGGCTATTAGAGATATCTTTGGCCCAGAGTTTGTTTGAAATCCAAAGGGAAATAGTATGTTTAGTACCAGTAGGATATTACTGGATGAATGTGTAATGACAACATATATGTAGCATAACCCCAGAATGGTATCAGTATGTAAACTTTTAGGCACTTTGTGACTTAAAAAGATTTCATGGTATTTATGTTGAGGTAATATAGTTCAGATAACTGTATGCTGGTAAGATGAGGAAACAAAAGATGTGTGTAGAATAAAGTTAAGAAGTGATATTTTCATAATCTATACCCTGCCCTTGTACCTCTCCTTCAGATTCCCTTTATTCGTTCAGAGTCAATTCTGCTTTATAAAAGATGACAGAAATGTTTCTCTAATAACATTTAACATCTATTTCTCTAGCTACAAAGCTCAAGGTATTATGGAGGATGTTACTGACAATGTTATAGATTATATACGTCCAGGGCCTCGTCGCCTAGATTGGGACAGCTTAATGACTTCCATGGATATTGTTGAGCAATTTGAAGAGGTAAATGATTTCTCTAAGAAGGCATTGAATGTGTTTGCATGTACGGTGCTCTGAGAGTCATAAGTGACATTGGTAAAGTCTATTGGTAGACTCCTGTGCATTCTCTTGAAGAAACCAAAGTCACCGAAGTGAATTTGTGAATAAAATAAATCCAATCAGAATTTTGAGTTTGGTTGCCCTAGTAGCAAAACCCTTATGACTGAGGACACCATTACCTCTTTTGTTGTAAGTACTGTTATGGTGGGAAGAGAGTGGAACTTAGGAGTCATAGGACCTGAATTCTACCTGTGTGACCTTAGGAAAGTTACCTCTCTTCTCTTGGCCTAAGTTTTCTTCATTAAAAAAAAATGGTAGAAGAGAATAGCCTTCAAGGTCCCTTTAAGCTCCAGATCTAAGATTCTTCTTCATTTGTAACATGAACATTATAAAAACATAGCTTTCACCTACAGGGTCCATGCATGTATGTAGATGTTCCATTGGCAATTAGTCCTTGAAATCAAAAGCAAAAAGCACCTCTAGCAATAGAGAACTGGAGTTTTGCAAAAGTGTAACTCCTTATTATGCTTGCTATTTTAGTGCAGAGTATTTGAGCAAGTGACTTTAGCCTAAATAGCCTCCAGCATCAGCTTCTACCTCATTTCTGTGGAACCTGTGTAGCTAGTGACAAGACAAGTTGGCTACTATAATGAGAACAGAACACATCAGTTAGGATCACTTTGAGAAGAATTTTGTCAAAGAACCATAATCCTACAATATGCTGTTTACAAGAAACATATTTGAAGCAGAGGGATACACACAGAGTAAAGGTAAAAGGCTGGAGCAGAATATATTATGCTTCAGCTGAAGTAAAAAAAAGCTGGGGTAGCAATCCTGATCTCAGACAAAGCAAAAGCAAAAGTAGATCTAATTAAAAGGGATAAGGAAGGAAACTACATCCTGCTAAAAGGTACCATAGATCATGAAGTAATATCCTTACTAAACATACATGCACCAAGTGGTATAGCATCCGGATTCTTAGAGGAGAATTAGAGATTCTTAAGGGAGTTACAGGAAGAAATAGACAACAACACTATACTAGGGGGGGCTTCAATCTCCCCCTCTCAGAACTAGGTAAATCTAACCACAAAATAAACAAGAAAGAAGTAAAGGAGATGAATAGAGTTTTAGAACAATTAGATATGGTTTACCTCTAGAGAAAATTGAATGGGGATAGGAAGGAATATACCTTTTTCTTGGCAGTACATGGCACCTACACAAAAATTGACCACATATTAGGGCATAAAAACCTCACAGTCCAATGCAGAAAGGCAGAAATATTAAATGCATCCTTTTCGTATCATGATGCAATAAAAATTACATGTAATAAAGAACCATAGAAAAATAGATTAAAATTAATTGGAAACTAAATAATCTAATCTTAAAGAATGAGTGGGTCAGACAACAAATCATAGAGAAAATCAATAACTTCATCCAGGAGAATGACAATAATGAGACAACATATCAAAACTTAAAGGCTACAGCGAAAGGAGTTCTAAGGGGAAGTTTTATATCTCTAAATGCTTACATGAATAAAATAGAGAAAGAAGAGATCAATGAATTGGGCATGCAACTAAAAAAGCTAGAAAAAGAACAAATTTAAAGTCCGCAGTTAAATACCAAATTAGAAATTTTGAAAACCAAAGGAGAAATGAATAAAATTGAAATTAAGAAAACTATTGAACTAATAAATAAAACTAAGAGCAGGCTTTATGAAGAAAAAAACAATAAAATAGATAAACCTTTAGTTAATTTGATTAAAAAAAGAAAGAAGAAAACCAGATTACCAGCATCAGAAATGAAAAGGTGAATTCACCACCATTGAAGAGGAAATCAAAACAGTAATTAGGAGCTATTTTGCCCAGCTGTAGGCCAATAAATTTGACAGTCTCAGAGAGAAGAACTTTGTCAGCTACGCTTGGGAAGTGTTGCCTGTGTAATACTTTTCTGAAAGATTGATTTGTGAACTTTAATCTGTGCATATTCTTCCTATGATAGCTAGTCATTTTAGTTCCTTTCTTTCCTTTATCTTGTAGAATTGCTGTGTGATGCGTTACACGACTGCTGGGCAGCTATGGAACCTCATTGCACCAAGAGAGTTTGTTGATTTCTCCTATACAACACAATATGAAACAGGGCTTTTGTCATGCGGTAATAATCTTAGACCTATATTGCTTTTATGTTGCTTTGGATTAAAATTTAGTTCTTTATTAAATGAATATTCTTTTCTGTGCTTTCTATATTTTTATCTGTTTCAATTATTGACATAATTGATATTAAACTTTAGCAAATAAGATAATGTGAGTGGCCGTTGAGCTGCAGTCACTGTCAGAAGGTGGCTTTTTGGGGCAGGTTTGGATTTCGTAACTCTCATAAAGAAAGAAGGGTTCCCTTTACTTCAGTCTTCGAAAACTACTGGATTTGGGGTCATAATAGGAAAATTTGTGATAGTATCTGTAGCTGTCTCATTCCTTTTTGTGGTTCTAAGCAGTATTTTTCCTTTTAATCTTAAGAAACTGTTCCAAGGAAATTCTTTGCTCCCTAGAGAGTTTCTTCTGCAGATAAAGTAATGGCTACTCTATTTACAAAAGTTGGTGTTTGCAGATAAGCATCGTCTTAAGTATCTTAGCCAATAGAGGTTTTGGCTTTTAGGAATAACCAGAAGTAACTGCTCTGCATCTGGCTTCCATGGGCAGTCAAGGATTGTCTCAAAGGTCATAGCTCCCCAGGAGTTAATAGGCAATTTCTTTTGCATTTTGCCACTTACGCTCTGACTATTGTCCTTTAAGTCCCAACTAAAATGCCATCTTTTATTAAAGCCTTCTCCAACCCTTCTTAATTCTAGTGCCTTTCCTTTGTTAGTTATTTCCTATTTTGTGCATAGCTTGATATATGTATGTACACACACACACATATATACATACATACACAAACATATATATTTGTTTTAATGTTGTCTCCACCATTAGATTGTAAGCTCCAAAGAGAACAGAAATTGTCTTTTGCCTCTTTTTGTAACCCAGTACTTAGCACAGTGCTTGGAATATAGTAGGTGCTTAATATTCATTGATTGATGTAAACCACTAAAACTATTCGCAATTAATTTTCCCAATATGAAAAATGGGAACAAAACTTAGGAAATCCTCATATCCTTTATGGTGAATAGATGCAAATTATTGTACTTAATAATGTTATTTTAAATTGTTTTATAGGTGTAAGTGTCCACTATGAAGAAGTGAGACCAGATTTTGTCCGTGGATATAATCATCCCTGTGGTTGGTTTTGTGTCCCACTTAAAGACAGTCTTGATCAAAGTCTTTTGACAGGCTATATTCAGACAGATCTTCGAGGGATGCTTCCTCAGTCTGCAGTAGATACAGCCATGGCTAGCACCCTGGTGAACTTTTTTGGTGACCTCAGAAAAGCCTTGAAGGCCTAATTGGATGTGAACCAAAATACTGTGAACTCATCATTATCACCCATTCCTCTTTCCCATATTATGTTGTAAAAATCTCAGGCTAGGTTAGAACTTTGTTATTCTGGAGTGTGATGCATTCTTTTATTCTTAATGCCTATAGGAGGCATTTCAATATGGTTGTAGCAGACTTGGAACTACTGTACTGCTTAAAAACACAAAAGACTTGATTTCATCTTCTTAAGAGCTGACTAGTGTCTCAATGGAAATATATACTTGTTGGCTTCTTAGGAATTATTAGAAGCACAAACTTCATTGTTGTTAGGATATTTCTAAGAACTTTGGTTTTCTTTCATATACTGCTTGTGTACAGAATAATTTGTTGTAGAGTCTTATGTATATTCAAAATAATTTTTCTGATCTTACTGTTAAATTTGTGTTTTAAAAATTCTATAATCAGTTGCTTTGAGATTGATTTAGACTTAGATGAATTAGAAGAAACAATAATTTTTAAAATTTTTTTCAGAAGGTCTCCTTCATTGTTAATTAATGTGCCAGTTAAGTATTGAAATGAAAAAGCGTAAGGGTTTCCCATAACCCACAGTTGATACAAGTAATTTTATTTTTTAGAATTCAAAAGTAGTTCTATGTCAATAGCCAGCCATCATTCTTCTCTTAAGTACTTAAGGTACACTGACTTGGGACCTCCTCAGAAATACTTGAGGGTTTTTTGAGGGCTTGGGCTATGGCAAAAACTGTAACAAAATATCTGCTTTCAACGTGTGAGTGTAGCAGTAGATTTTACAGTAATAGTCCATGCCAGTTCAGAACATTGGTAATGTGTGACAAAATTTTACTTGAGAATTGCCTACAAAGCAAGGCAAACCAAAGACATGCACTCTGTGTTTTATTTTTGGAAATAAAGCACACAGCTTCTTATGGAGGATTCTAAGTGTAAATAGTAAAAATGCAATTATAGCTTAACTTAAACCATAGCTCGAACAAATGCATGCCTGGTGGTTATCTGCACAGCTGTGAAAAGTCACGATGACTTGAATGACCTCAAATAGGGAAGTGTTCCAGTTCTACAGATGGGGTCAGGTAAGGGCTCATTCTAGGTGATTTACTATTGTACTTATATCTTGGCTTAAAAAGAAACTATGAGAAGGAGATGATGGTTTAAATGTGAAACATAGGGAATATAGATGAGTTCCAAGGCAATAACATGATGCTTATGAATGTGTGTATATTTATATATATATATATATATGCATATGTACATGTGTATACATATGCTTACATATATAAAATATAACAGACATTTTAAAATGTAGCCTAGCTCCTCCTACTTATGATGGTGGACTGAAAGGATATTTAATTTTTGAAAACATCTTGAGTCATACATAGCCCAGTGTTTCAAGCCATGGAAGTATTAAGTAATTAATGTGCTCAGACTCCTAATATGCAATTTTTTTCCCTGCTTGTAAAAAAAACTGTAGCTGCTATTTGATTAAGAGTATTTGCAGAATAGCTGTTAGTAGTGAATTGCAGTCTAAAAGCAAAGGAAAAATATGTGTTAGCTTTGTACTGTCAGATTCTTCTGCTTATTTTCCTTCTTGCTTCTCCTCCTTTCATACTATGATTCAAGAACTGATGACTTCTAACCTTTCAAGGATGAGATTTTCATTGATTAAGCATAACTTAAAAGTCTGCTGTTGCCTGAGTAGATTGATCTCATTTCCAGATATACCAGTGTCTATTCTGTTCTCATTAATTCATATTTCTGGGATCCAGAATGATAAATGGGGGCAGCGAGGTGGCGAGTGGATAGAGCACCGGCCCTGAAGTCAGGAGGACCTGAGTTCAAATCCAGCCTCAGACCAAACGCTTGACACTTACTAGCTGTGTGACCCTGGGCAAGTCACTTAACCCCAATTGCCTTTAAAAAAAAACCAGCAGAATGATAAAGGATTACCTCTCCAACTATCTAATTAATGCTTCATCCTAGGCTAATGCCATTGCCCCCATGTAAAAATCTTCATGGAGATACTGAATCATTGGTGGGTTGAAAAGCAGTGTTTGCGTTACTTAAGAATTAGATTTGACTTTAGAATTGCACGTTAGTTCATCTTGGCAGCCTGCTTTAAATATGACTGTCAGGATTAACCAATGATGGCATATACACTAGTGTAGACCATGGACTGTATTACTGAAGAAAACAAGCCAAAGAGATGTTGCTTAGAGAAAATGAGTACTTTACTTAAACACAGGAATTTTGTGGTGATAATGTATTTAACTGTCAGACCTTGGTGACAGAGTTACTATTTCAAAAGTTTATTTAAAATATGTAAGATTGTGATTGATTTAGATGTAAGATTGTGATTAATTTGGTACAATATTGATTGATTAGGAATAATTACAATAATTCTTTGTGCTAGGAAATGAAATAGCAAATATTTTGAAATTAGTTTTTTTTTCTATAGAAGTATTCCAGGCTTAGGCTCAGCTAATGTTAGTTAAATGGGACTTTGGAAATCTCTAGGAAGTGGGTTATTGACTGTTATCATAATAAAAAAGGAATTATTTTTATGAGAAAATATCTTCCCTTGGGGAATGATTAGATTTTCCTACTGGTGATTAAATAAAAATACACACCCATAGAAGATATTTATTTTTAATATATGTATATATAGACACATATGCATATAGTATACACATATGTGTGTAGACACACATATATACACTCCTCTATTGAGATATGCAGTTTTCTGCTATTTGTAAGCAGTTTATGTCTTAGAAACTTTTCTTAAGGAAATTATGGGTTCAGTGCTGTTGATAGTACATGGTACCTGTGACTGACTTTTGTAAAATGTTTTGTACGGGGCACAATTATTTAATACAGGTGACATTTTGAAATTTTTCAGTTGCTGACCTCTTGAAAATTGATGCCATTCTGGGGCAAATAGCATTTTCAATATGCAGTGTTATGCTGATATCATACTTTTCCATAATAGAAATTGTGATCATTAATGATGTTGGAAAACTATCAGCATAATTGATCATATCAATAAGAAAACCAACAAAAATCATATGATTTATCTTAACAGATGCAGAAAAAGCCTTTAACAAAATACAACACCCATTCCTATTTAAAAAATAAATTAGAGAGCGTAGGAATAAATGAAGCTTTCCTTTAAATTAGAAGTAATATCTATCTAAAACCATCAGCAAGCATTGTCTGTAATGGGAATCAGCTGGAAGCCTTCCCAGTAAAGATCTGGTGAGAGCAAGGATGCCCATTATCACCACTGTTCAGTATTGTATTACAAGGAATTAAAATAGGAAAATGGGGAAACAAAAACTATCCCTGCAGATTATATGCTGTTATACTTGGATGGTATTTGATGTTTTATCTAGAGAATCAACTAAAAAAAAAATAGTTGAAATAATTAGCGACTTCAGCAAAGTTGCAGGATATAAAATAAACCCACATAAATCATCAGCATTTCTATGTATTACCAACAAAGTCCAGCAGCAAGATTTAGAAAGAGAAATCCCATTTAAAATAGCTGTAGAAAATATAAAATACTTGGGAGTTTGCCTGCCAAGACAAACCTAGGAACCATATGAACACAATTACAAAACACTTCTCACACAAATAAAATCATATCTAAACAATAGGAAAAATATTAATTGCTCATGGGTAGGCTGAGCCAATACAATAAAAATGATAAATCTACCTGAATTGATCTACTTATTCATTGCCATACCAATCAAATTGCCTAAAATTATGTGAATAATAATAATTATTATTATGTAATAATAAGGTAGTCTAGCTGTATCAGATCTCAAACTGTATAATGAAGTGTTAATCATCAAAACAATATGGTGTTGGCTAAGAAATAATGAGTGGTGGATCAGTGGAATAGATTAGGTACACAATACACAGTAATTAATGACCATGGTAATCTAGTGTCTGATAAACTCAAAGACCAAAGCTTTGGGGACAAAAACTCATTTATTTGACAAAAACTGCTAGGGAAACAGGAAAACAATATGGCAGAAACTAGGTATAGACCAAGATCCTTGTTGTATACCAAAATAAGGTCAAAATGGGCACATGATTTAGACATAAGGGGTGATACCATAAGCAAATTAGGAGAACGCGGAATAGTTTACCTGTCAGGTGTATGTATAAGGAAAGAATTTAGGACCGTAGAAGATATAGAGAGCATTATGAAATGAAAAATAGATAAGTTTGATTATGTTAAAAAAAAGTTTTTGCACAAACAAAATCAATGCAACCAACATTAGAAGAAAAGTACAAAACTGAGGGGAAATGTTTACATCAAGTATCTCTGATAAAGGCCTTATTTCTCAAAAATATAGAGAACTGAGTCAAATTTATAAGACTACAAGTCATTCCCCAATTGTTAAATAGCCAAAGGATATGAATAGCAGTTTTCAGACAAAAAAATCAAAGCTATGTATAGTCAAATGAAAAAATCCTCTAAGTCACTATTGATTAGAGAAATGCAAATTAAAACAAATCTGAGGTACCACCTCACACCCATCATATTTACTAATATGACAGAAAAGGAAAATGATAAATGTTTGAGGGGATGTGGGAAAACTGAGGCACTAATTCACTGTTGGTGGAGTTGTAAACTGACGCAACCATTCTGGAGAGCAATTTGGAACTATGCCAAAGGGCTATAAAACTAGGCTTACTCTTTGATCCAGCAATACATTTACTAGATCTGTATCCCAAAGAAATAAATAAAGGGGGGAATCTATTTTTTAAAAAAAATACTTATAGCAGCTCATTTTGTAGTGACTAAGAATTGGAAATTGAGGAGATGCCCATCAATTGGGAAATGGCTGAATAAATTGTGGTATATGATTGTAATGGAATATTATTGTGCTATAAGAAATGACAAGCAGGATTATTTCAGAAAAACCTGGAAAGACTTACATGAATTGATACAGAGTGAAGTGAACAGAACCAGGAGACCATTGTACACAGTAACAGCAATATTGTATGATGAACACTGTGAATGACTTAGCTCTTCTCAGCAATACAATGATCCAAGACAATCCCAAAGGACTCATGATGAAAAATGCTATCTGTCTCCAGAGAAAGAACTGTTGGCATCTGAATATAGACTGAAGCATACTATTTTTCACTTTTTTTTGTTCAAGCTTTTTTCCACGTAATGACTAATATGGAAATGTTTTATATGATTGCACATGTATAAGCTATAGCAAATTGTTCAGCATCTCAGGGAGGGGATAGGGAAGGGAGGAAGGGATAGAATTTGGAACTCGAAACTTTAAAATGAGTGTTATAAATTGTTTTTACATGTAATTGGGGAAAAATAAATATTATTTTAAAAAATGTGGGGAAAGTGTTTTGTCTTCATCTGTAAAATGAGAATAATTTTTAACTCCCTAACTCACAAGATTTTTGGGAGTAATGTGCATTTCAGACTTTAAAGTGCTATATAAATATGAGGTATTTAAAGTCTAAATATCTTTCTTTGTACCAGATCTATCAGTTTTAATAGTTAAACATAATGTTTCTTTTTAGTGAATAACATTTCCTCAACACAGGTTGAATTAACATCCAAAAGGCACAAAATTTATAACTGAAGTGACTTCATTGGAGAAGGTAGGGATTGAGCTTCAATGAAGAAGATAATGTAATTAAGTAATTAGTTATGTATTCACTCTTTTCTGTATAGTAGTTCTCACTAATACAGGTAGAAACTTTATAGTTTCATCAAAAAGAAACTAAAGTTTATTGTATCCATGTTGGAACATTCTGCTGTTTCAATTCATTTCACAATTTTTACATATACTAAACAAGCAAAAATGTTCAATTCAGGGAATCATGTTCTATAGAGCAAATTTTGGGAAGTCTTTATAGACCTGGGCTTTTTGCCTAGGGCTAGTGCAGATGCACTTATTTTTAAATATTTAACAAACCAATCTTTACTAATTATAGCTGTACCATGTGATAAGTCAATGTGTAAGCCATAATTGTTTATAAGCAATTGAAGGATTTGGTAGCCTATCGTGTCATTTACACTCACCAAACGTGTGGGATTTCCAATAAAACACGGACATAGTGTACGTTCCCCTCTCTACCCTCAGCAAGAACTGTCTAAAAAGATTTTCCCCTCTACCTACCCCTACCCTTCTTGCTAAAACTGAATTTCTCATTGTCACCAAAACAGGCATAAGTTTTAACTGAAATGCCATTCTCCTCTACAGCAAAAGCAAGCCCTGCTTTAAGGGGATAAGACAACATTGCATTTCCTCATTTGATCTTCACAAGAACTCTACCATATGAGAAGGGAAAGCATTTCCATTTTACTGATGAGAAAACAAATCTAGTGAGAAAGAATGATTTACTCACAGACTCACAGTCTCACAGCTAGTCAATGGCAAACTAGAAACCAGATAGGAGACCTTAATGTGGTGGGACCTGGATATAAAGAGGAGAATCAAATGGAATGAAGAAGAGTTTTGAATGGTTATTTCTTAAGTCATTTTAATGATTAAATGAAAATAACAGTTATTGCACAATTGAAGAAAAAGTCTAAAATAGGTAGATTTTATTACACTATTATAGGAATTTATATGTGAAATTGGGATTTGCATTTATGTATTTCCTTCTATGCCTTAATTTGAATCAATTCATTAACATTAAGCTCCTACCACTTGTCTCACACTGTGGTAAGTGTTGAATGAGGGAAGTGTATTTATTTTTGTCACTATAAAATATATCATTAAAAAATTTCCAGAGACTGTTATTAGTTGTTAATGAAACTTAGAAGTCAGTTTGGGTGTAAATTTACTTCAGATTTTGAGCTAC